AATTTTTGAGGAAGAAATATCTAGTAAAGACGAATAATTAAAATTAGTTTTTAAAACTATTTTAAAATTTGAGGACATGTTTTGCAAATAAAAACTCATTTCATTAAGGGTAAAATTGACTTTTTAACAAAAGACCTAAAATCTTTAAGTGGACCAGTCATTTATGAAAACCTCTCCCTTAGCAGCTTTGTTTTACAGCTCAAGTACTCCAATAATTGCATGCCAGGTCCCTCAACTTTTATTGTGTACATTGTTGTCCTCAAATTTTGAATTTTATGTCAATCGCCCCCTTTTAGAGCATTGCATTTGGTCCCAAATTTCACATTTTTGTACTCTTTTAGTCATTTTCTCATCGTTTTGCCGTGTTCTTCTCCAATTGGGTGTTTTTATTTGTGAGTAGGAATCTATTCATTTCATCAATAATAAATTCGTTTAGGCCTCCACTAAATGTGGAAACACACTTACCAATCAATATTTAGAAACAAAAATAAGGCACCCGCAGGAATCATGGATTTATTAGGAGGACTATCCCCTACAATGAATGAATTTTTATATTTTTTCCTTATTCTTTAATATTGTTTAGTTGTATTTGTTAGGGATAGTGGTTACTATTCTTGAATTTGAAATTATTCGATCTACCAATTGGTGACATCATTCAATAACTATCAATATTTTAGTATGTTCAGAAGTGATAGGAATCGAAGTAGTGAGCACGCATTCATATTCGAAATATGTCGCATCGTCAGATAGGTTAATGAATTCACTTGAATATTTTATTTATAGAACACTTTGAATCTAAGCTAGTATTCTGGGACGTCCAAATCATTAATTTTTTTTATTATATATATTCTGAGTGTATAGTCTTTTGTTCGTAGTGAAAAAAATGAAGACTTATAATTAGATTGGGTGATTTAGGGTCTGCTAAATATGATCTAATTTTTAGAATGTGAACTTAGTTGCAATTAATATAAAAGTTTTCGCTCAAGTTAAAATCAAAATCAAAAAATAAAATATAAATTTCGAAAAATGAGCTTTTCTGAACTATAGCTAGAGAAATCAAATGATAATGGTTCTCAAATTGATCCTCATGTTTGACCAAGATGTGAGAACACAACTTTATACCCAACTCAAATCGAAAACCACAATCTTTTTTTTCTCAACTTATTCAAACGTTGCATCAATTTATTTAAAATGTATACATGGCGTTCCTCTTCTTAAAAATATTGCTACGTTACATAACGTCATACTCAATTCAAATCGAGAATCACAACATTTCTTTTATCGGCTCATTCAGAAATTGCATCAATTTATGCCAAAAGGATAACCTTCGTGTTCTTAAAATAGTGTAAAAAATCTACTTGAATTCCTAGAAACTTCCGAGCTTACTCAAAATTAAGGAAAAAATAATTGCTCCAATGACTTAAGAATGGGATTTGAGTACCTTCAGCGAGAGCTTCTAAATTTATCAGTAATTATGTAAAAAAGTTAGGAAAGAGAGGTTGGGACCAAAATTAAAATTACCAAAGTTAAGGATTTATTATTTAAAATTAGTGATGTATTGAATGCAGAAAAGAAAAGAATATGTTGGTCACTCTAAATTTATTAAAAATAAGATTTAGGGTGTGTTTGATCCACATTATTTTGAAAGAATGTATTATGGAATAATAAATTGATGAAGAATGTGTGGTTGAAAAGGAAAGAAAATTTATTGATGTGATGAAAAATATTATTTTATTGAAAAATGTGTGATTGAAAATGAGTAGAAGAATGAGAATGAAAAAAATACCGTGTACCAAATAAGGACTTATTATTTGATTTTCTTTAAAACGCCCAAAAATGATGCCTTTTTTTTTGTACGAAGGATGCTTTTTTTATTAACTAGACAATCAATATCACTCATTTAGCCTCTGTTTTGCCCCTTTTTAAAGCATTTAAGAATGCTCTTTTTTTTATTTTATGAAATTCACAACTTTTTAATTACAGATTTCATTAATTTTTTTTTCAAAATCTACTAAAAATTAGATTTTATCATAATTTTTTTTTTTTTTCATACAAGAACGACTATGTTTTCCTTTTCATTCAACTCGATTTTTATTTGGATCGTCATTTTGGAGAAGAAGTTGAATATTAGCATCTTTTTGTCGAATCAGTTCATTAAAAAATTTAATTTTTGAATAGATTATAAATTACTCTAATTAATTATTATTTTTCTATGCAACATATCTTGTCAAAGTGTAGGCCGAATTCATTCATTAAATACATGAAACATGCATAAGTTTTTACTTTTAGGCGAAGTATTTTTGTGTATGCAAGTTACAAAAGGTAGAAAAAAAGGACTTTCTTGGCACAAACTCCTTTTCATGGGAATCTACTTTGGATGGTGATTTATATGTAACGTACCAAATCACGTAATGTTGCATTGACAATTAATTCTTCAAATTACTTCGGATCATGGAGCGTAGACTTTGATTTTATTTTAACTTCAGATTTGACAACTATATTCTAAATCTTGATCCAACGTTAATATTATATTGATGGTCTTAGTCACTAATTAATGGAACTATCAGGCTTAACTAGTGGCGGTCGTAGAACTTTAGAGTTAGGGGGCACAATCGAACTTGTAAAGAAGTTGAGAGAAATTTTACAATCGAAAATTTACGTCCAAAAAAATCATACCCCATGTAATTTTACATCCGAAAATTTACATGGGATATGACTTTTTCGGATGTAAAATATCGAAAAATTTTGATGTCA